GCTTCGACAGAAGCTGTGGCTCTTCGCTTTTCAGCGTGAAAGAACCGAAAGCGAGACGACGAAAAAGGCACAGCACGTAGAACAGACGAACAGAGAGGGCCGACGTCAGGAGAGCCGGGCCAAGGGCAAGGGCAAAGGGGGCAAGGGCAAGCATTGGAAAGGCACGGAGCCAGCTGCTCAGAAAGGGATAAGAGCAAAAACAGGTACAAAAAATGGTACCTTTTATCAATGTTTTGTCAATGAGGCAGCAAGATCCTGCTTCCACTCAGCCAAAGCAGGAGACCTCTGAGCAATTTGGTTGATTTGTTGGAGTATGTTGGAGTTGTCATTGTCTTCCTTGACGAAGCGCTGAATATATAGAACTCCCTGATTGAAGCCGGAATCGAAGATACTCTGCTGTACTTTGCGAGGACACGAGTGATGCTGCAAATGGAGAACATGCCGGAGCACGGGGTGTTGTGCTTAAGTCCTTTTGACCATCAGAGCTACTGGGCCATCCGAGCCGTATCATCCAGCGCAGCAGAGCCGTCAGCATGGTGTTCTTCACCCCGTCAGCATGGTGTGTGAGGCCCCAAACCCTGTGGTCCATGGAGACTGAAAGGACTCTTGCGTACATTGCGAATGCTCAAGGTGGGACGACTGTCAGCGCTCCGAGCAGCAACACAGCACAGGAAGAAAGCTTTTTCTTCCTGGGGGCCATAAAACGGTGTGGAATGTGACATAGAGTATAGTCATTTGTCGAGTCAGCTAAACACCAGCTCCTGGTTGCCTTTGCGTTCGCTTGGCACTGTCCGCTTCAGGAGTCTGGCGTCCTGACCGCAGCAAAGCTTCCCAGCTTCACTGTGCAGCACTGGCATGCAGCCGCTGCGAAATCCCGGTTTCATGATGTTTGATCCAGACCGCTGCCAGGGTGTGGCTTCCATTCCTTGCGAAAATTGCAGCTCTGCAGGTGGAGAAGTGTGGCACTTAGTCACACCTTTTTACAAGCTACCGTGGTTCTGGGTCTTCTTAAGTCTCAAATGGTTCTGGTGACTGCAGAAATCAGGATCAACAAGATGGCGAAAGATGGGCTGGACCCATGCTTTCAAAAGATGTTGGAGATCATTCAGGACTTGTGTGGACCTGCTTAAGTTGACCTGCAGCATTTTCTTCCCCTGATGCAACGCTTGTTTGAAGGAACAGGCTGCGAAGACTCCAGGACTGGAACACCATGCGGCCGTCATCACACAGGATCGAATTTGGTCCCTTTTCAAATTGATTGTTTGGCTCGAGTGTGCTGGTGGAGAATGTTTGAGACCTTTGGAAGGCTCTGAGTGGTGACAATGACCAGAGGCTAGGCCTTCAAATGATGCCACGAGCAGAGATGATGAGCAGTAGAGTCATGATACTTATATAGACATTTGACTTTGTTTTTGACAGTTCTATAGTTTGAGAGGCGCTTGGGCGAAGCTCTTCTTGAACTGCTGAAAGCTCTGGATAAGCTTGGCCTGGAGGCTAGCTTCAAACCAGTGAACACCTAACAATCATTTTGATTCACTGACGAGGTGCAATCATGCTTCTCCGAAGCTGTAGCCCCTTCTTTGCTGCCAATACTGGAGGACCCCAAGCTTCAGTCGCAATCTCTTTGCCGCTTTTGAATTAACCCAACACAGGAGGTGACGGAGTGGCCCATGGCACGAAAGGGCGCGAAGGGCAAGGACAAGCGCCACCAAAATCCTGCATCTACAGCGAAACAGCAGGAGACAATGAAGCACTTCTATTTGGATGTCCAGCGTCCCGAATGAAGGGCGGTTTTTGGTCGAAACTGGATGTCGCTTGCAATACTTACTGTACCTCACGTTACGTCCTGCAAGGACCTGGGTGATGCAGATGCAGGATGTGGACCAGGCGGCGCCACGCTTATTTCAGTCCGAATTCAACTTTGGTGACTTTGGACTTCCTTTTGTTACTAGTCACAAGAAGCTACGAACGGGGCTCCTGGCCTTACTACGAACGGAGGGATCGGACGCTACGAGTAAGGGGCTCATCGCTAACCGCTCACGAACGGAGCATTCTTACTAGTAAGTAAAGATTCCTTGAGGAAATGGCTTTGGCCGATGGCGACTGCCGGGATTCCTCCGCACCATGCGTATGTTGAAGGTGCGGTCTGAGAACAGGAGTTGTTGGAGTGGCCGTGTGGCGCAAGTCAGCGGCAGGGCTGTTGGAGGGCTCAGCCAGTTCTCCGATATTCGATACCATTTGACGACTAGTTGTGTACAGTACTGACAGTGGATTTGTGGCTTCAGCTGTGGTGGGTACGTTGCTGGGCCGATGCAGCTTCTGAGAGAAATTGGACAGGACACTGGCATCCTAGCAGCAATGTTTCCCTGCCTGGCTGTGCATCACCGTCTGGCTTACGTGCATCAGCCTGACCACCGCAGTTTCATCCAAATGGCTGGTTGCCAGGCAATCGCTTCCATTCCTTATTCACATTGCAGCTCAGAAGGTGAAGAAGCCTGCCACTTAGCAAACCCAACTTGCGAATCTGCAGAATCTGCACACGCTACCTGAAATGTCTGTGATTCTTTAAAGTTTTTTTGCCAGCCTCGCGTGAAACGTCACTCCATCTCAAGCATTGCTTTTTCCAGAGTCTTGTTCTTGGAGAGAAACCGTCAGAGTCTATGAGTCAGGATCAATGGCAAAGCGAAAGAAGGGCTGGACCCAAACTTTCAAAAGATGCTGGAGATCGTTCAGGACTTGTCAGGTTTAGGATGATATGACATGCAGCAACTTCTGCCTGATCTGAGAGCTTAATCTTGTGCTGGTAGGAGCAGGCTGCGAAGACTCCAGGCTTGGAACAGCATGCACAGCTTTGATTGCCGAGGTCGGGATTGGCTGAGTTTTAAGAAAACCACTTAGGCTATCCCTGATGGTTTTTCCAAATCACAAAAAAAAGAAAAAAAAAGGAACAAAAGCAACTACAAAAAACACAAGCAAGCAAAACAAAATGCGAAACAAAAAACACAAAAACAAATGAAAAGGCAAAAAGCGGAAAAAAGACCGAACAAAAAAGCGGAAAACAACAACTCAAAAAGCGAAAGCATAGCGACACAAATGCGAAAAAAAAGCGAAGCAAATGCGGGCAAGCAAAAAAAACGAAACACAGCGAAAAACACAGCGAAAAACGAGCGGAAAACACACGGACAATTGCTTTTGCTTTTTGGATTTGCTTTTTCTTTTTCATTAGTTTTTTGTGCTTTTTGGATGTGCCTTTTTGCTTTTGCTTTTTCATTTGCTTTTTTTTTTTTCTTTTGCTTTTGCATTTGCATTTTTCTTTTTGGATTTGTTTTTTTGCTTTTGCCTTTTCATTTGCTTTTTTTAAAACTCCTTTTTGGATTTGCTTTGATTGCTTTTGCTTTTTGTAGTTGCTTTTTTTAGCTATTGCTTTTGCATTTTTTTATTTTCAAGATTCACAGAGTTAGCCTGGGTCCGGCGATGTTAAGCTGAGTTCAATTAATTCAGTTCTGTCAGTCCCATTTTTGAGATCAATCTGTGAGTCTTGTGCACGGACAACTTGCATGATTACTTTACATCTAGTGTTTTGCCCAACAGTTTTCTTGGATAATGTTTGAGACCTTTGGAAGGCTCTGAGTGGTGACAATGACCAGAGGCTAGGCCTTCAAATGATGACACAAGCAGGGATGATGAGCAGTAGAGTCATGATACTTATATAGACATTTGACTTTGTTTTTGACAGTTCTATAGTTTGAGAGGCGCTTGGGCGAAGCTGTTCTTGAACTGCTGAAAGCTCTGGATAAGCTTGGCCTGCAGGCCGGCTTCAACGCACAAACCCAGTACGGTTCTTTGGCTTCCCCCTCTGGTGTTTTTCAGGCGCAATCATTCGCTGAAGCGGTGGCCTCGTCGTTGCTGCCAGTGTTGGAGGACCCGTCGCAGTCGCAATCTCTTTCGCTCGCTTTTTTGATATTTCATTTCCTCTACAGAATCATGACGGCCTGGTGATCTACAGAATCAAAAGGGATATTTTTTGCTAATTAATCTAATTACTGGCTGGACCAAAGGCTGAAGAAGGGCAAGTGCCAGTTTTTTGACGAACCACCACAGGAGATGATTACGGAGTGGCCAATGGCACGAAAGGGCAAGGGACAGGGCAAGCACAAGCACTGCAAGGGCGAGCCCGTCAGCCAATGTGGACCAGTGGACGTGCCACCCATTGCACCTGCGTCCGATGCTGAGCACCCAGACATGTTGAGTCTTGATTTCTTAATCCTCACCTTTTGGTCAACTTGGAGGTCTCAAGGTCACCTTCCAGCCAAGGAGGACTGTTGGGATGGTTGCAGGTGTTATTTCTGACGAGTCTCAACAAATTGGACGAGTCGGACGTCACGGACTGGAGAGCTGTTTGAAGGTTTTCAGACACTCAGGAGAGCTGGTCAGGGAAGAGCGGAAAGTGCAAGGGAAAGGGCAAGCTGCAGGTCTGATGTGGTCTGAAGGAGAAATCTGCAGCACCTGATGCTGGCTAATGCTACTGCTAGGAGGCTGCCCTGAGGCGGTTTGTTTAGCACCTTGCTATAGCACGAAGGCTTTGCATCGCTGTGCTGCTGGTGCCAATTGGTACAGATTTGGCCAGCCCACCTTCAAGGAAGGCTTCGCTTTCAGGCCCTGACATGTTCTGTTTAAGACGGTTCAGGGATTTGTGATCATGTTCTCTCGCGAGAATGACATCATTTGTGAGACAAAGACCGTCAGTCAGTTTCGGATTTGCTTCAAGTGCATGACTTGGTGTTTCAACTTTCAACCAAGCACTTTCAAGCCATGTTCCATTGAACACCTTCTTCCAACTTGCAACCAAACCACTTTCATAGTAATTATAGTACAGTAATTAGTAATTACTGGTAGTATCATTATCATATTGCTTGGTTCTCTTGCATTTGCTCATGGTTTCAAGCTTGACAGGCACTTCTCCAGAGCCTTTTTCAGCCGGTTTCTGCATGCACCGCTGCTGGCTCAAGGCGTTGTCCTGAAGAAATCTGATTCAAAGCTCGAGACGCGAGGCGAGGCGACGACCCGCAGCATACCAGATGTGGCCCGACACGGGACCTGAGCTTTAAGGGGGACCCGAGCAAAAGCTCCAAAGTGAAGGGTTGAGTGAGGATGACAACATGGATGACAACATATGATAAAAAAGAAGAGAATTGCATAGATTTTCCACTACCAAGTGAACTGAGTTCCTCCCCAAAAACACCGACTGGGATGTATCTCTTGCATTCTGAATGGCCGGCTTCGACCATGGTCTTTTTCCAGGAACTGCAGCCGGACGACCATACCGACTGCGACCATGACCGTAGACCTGACCTGTCCTTGACGACCGTCGGACCGAAGAAGAAAGACCGTCGAATGATCGGGACGAAAGCACCGAGATGAAGGCCCCATTTGGGCCCTGATGACGAGCGCATTTTGGTTGCACCTTTTCGTGTAAAAGCGGTGCCAGAGATGAACGAAAACCGCGACGGTGTTCGTTCAACAGTGAAGGATCCTTTGGGAACGATCGAAGTCAAGTGCAGAGTCATGCCAGCCGTCCGTGGCCCGAATTGCCATTATTGGCCATGTATTTCACGACAGACGGTGGTGAAGTTCTATTGTGACGATGGGGAGATTTTCCGCCGGCAGCTTCCAGAAGAGCCGGCTGCCAAGTCATCCAACGCCCAGTCCGAACAGCGCCTGACGGGCTTGTGACTGTGAGGAACTGCGAACATCAGCGGGCGTCGCGTCGCGCGGCTTCGGCGCGTCGCGCGGCCGGCTTCCGCGAGCCTTTCGAGGCCAACCTTCGAGGCGATCATGGAACTGGCAAAGAACTGTCGTCCGTGCCCCGGAGACCCGACGGTGGGTCCGCTGCGAGGTGTCCGACGGTGTCGACCGCTCGAATGGTGTCAGGTCCTGATGTGGCCCAGAAGCTGAGGGAGGGTGGCGCTTGCGTGCTGAAATATGTAGGGGACTGAACAGCTGGACGTTTTGAACATGTGGCACGGATGAGAGTTGGACGTCTAAATCAGGTGACACCAACCCACAATCCACCCCCCAAAAAAGAAAGAACGACTAGAACAACATGCATGGTCATTGACCCAGATTTCCCAGTGATGCCATTGACCCAGGCAGATGATGAAGGAGATCTTTGCACTTTGGCACCGGCCACCTTTCCCGACTTTCTCAGCCTGTGGCGCGCCGAGCGTTCGCCGTTCTTTGCCTCCGGGAGGGGCCGGAGCCGAACAATCCCTTCCGAGGCAAAGGAGGAGCGGAAACAGCCGGCTGTTGAAGCGACGGGCTCAATTCGGAACCCTCAAAAAAAGCACGGCTTGTGTCGGACGGCGAAACCATTCAGGGGGGGCTGTTGTTTTTTTCAGCGTGGCGTCGGCATGGTCTTTTGTTCGTTCACCCATTGGTGAGGTTAACGCTGACGCTGCAGACGGACCAGTCGCGCAGGCGGGACCCATGGACCGCTGGGTAGCCGCGCGGCGGGAAGGCAGCGCGTCGACGCCGCTGTCAGGCTTCCGCCGGGTTCGAAGGACGAATCTTGGCAGCGCTGAACGGGACAACGGGAAGAGCTCCCAACATGAAAGGAGGTCAAAGAGATTTACCAATGAAGTGTTAATTACATATTAGCCTATTTTGTGTTTACTCAGAGGCTCATGGACCCTCAAACTGCTACATGTTTGAGGTCCAAAACCCTGGCTGTGAGGGTCAAAACCCTAGCTATGAGGGTCCAATGAGCCCTCTTCTCATGGGGTTTTGCTGTTTAAGCATCTACCAGTACACTAGGTTCGGTTCGTTTTGCTGTTTGCAAATTCGGTTGTAACAAAGAGCGTGCCATCTTCGTAGTGAGCTTGCGATAGTATGCGGCCATGAGTGGGGCCATGAGTGGCAAATTGTATGCAGCTGGGGGTGGTGAGCCTGAAATACACATAGCTGGGAATTCGAGACCAAAGCCTTGTTCACTACTCTCAGTGTCATTTCAGGTACTTGTAGGTGTGCTAGCTACAGTGTGTATTTTTTTACACATTTACTGCTGCGCGCAGTACAAGTTCCCCACTTCTTTGGGTTGTTTGGGCTGTTTGACTGGGTAGGTGTCAGGTGTTTCAGAACCCCCTGCGTCCAAAAACCGCTGGATCTCTTGGGACCTCTCTGAGAGGGCGTGCCCTTGAGGCTGTCGGTGCTCGGCCAGACGAGGCAGGTGTGGCGAGCGCCGAGGCTCGGCCGGTCGACCGGAGGTCGACAGCGAGGGGAGCAACCCGTGCGGCCTGAACCGGGTCCGAAAGGGAGATCAGATCTGAAAGTCGAAGGTCGACAGAACACATCATGTCAGACAACATGGTTTCACGCAACAGGCTCAGGCCCTTCGATGCGGCCCCAGTTTCTGGAACCGTTGATTCGTTTTGTCTCCGGTGTCCGTTCACCACCGGTGAGGACACCGTGAATGCCGCTGGCAGCGAGGGCGTGGCATCTCCGGGGTGGCTCGGTGGAGAGTGGCAGTCGCTCGCTGGACAAAAGGAATGATAATCATGTACCTAGGATTACCTAGGTACCCCTTCAACCCCAAACCCTAAACCCTAAACCCTTTTCTTTTTTCGGTGTGACCACACTGTTTGGGGAAGAAGTCTCAATTGGGTGAACCCAGTCTAAGCGCTGTCAAATGGGGGGGTACAGGGAACTGTATGAATTTACATCGGGATACTTTGTAAGCACCCTGTCCCCTATAATGGCCACATATAGCCACAAGAAGGCTCATTACATTTTCACCCTCCCTGAGGGAGCTGACATAGGATGTGGCACTTGAGATTCAATTTTTGTGATTTCTGGTCATGAGATCAGAAAGTGCCTGACAACAAGTTGAGACATCAGGAGCAAAACTATCTAAGTTGCCGAAAACCTGGTGAACTGCCTGTCAAGTTTGGAAGCTCTAGCCACCATCCATGAACCATGTTCCATTTTTTGATAAGCCTCCAAATCTCCTTTCAACATGCTGGCCACAAGATTCTAGAAACACATGACTTTTTGGCCAAAGGGTTCTAGCAAAGCTGTGCGTTTTCTCGTGCTTCTTCTCATGCTTTTGTGGCTCCTTTCTCGTGTTTTTTGGGCAGGCCAGGCTAATCCCTGAGTTCCTGAGTTCCACACTCTCTTGGGTCAGTGAGCTGTGTTTTAGAAGCTTTTCTCGTGCTATTTCTGGTGCTTTTACTCATGCTTTTTCGTGCTTTTCAATGCAGAGTTTAATTGCAAAAGCCACCAGAAAAGCACGACCTTTTGACCACAGGATTCTAGAAAAGCCGTGCGATTTCTCCTGCCTTTTTGGCCGTATTATCGTGTTTCTTCTCGTTTTTTTTTGTGGTTTTCTTGTGTTTTTTTTGGCAGCTTTATCGTGTTATTTTTTGCTGTTTTCTCGCTCTCTTTCTCGTTTTTTTTTGGGCCGCTTTCTCGTGCTTTGTTTCGTGTCCTGGGAGCAATTAGATGTGGTTGCGTTCCAGCCGTTTTGCCACACACACACACAAACAGCAAAAAACACAAAACAACAACATCATACAACATCTATTGGAACTGATTTCCGATCACTTTCTGAGATGGGGCCCTGGCTTCACAGCAAGTACAGCTTTTGAGCACCTGATGGGATGCGAAAAATGCCAGGGCTGCAGCCTCATGCTACAGGGTTGAACCTGCTTACCACCACTTTACTTGGTTGCACCAAACCTCAGGAACATCAGGCATTTGATAGTTATGTGAGCCCCGCATGCTGGCCAATATGAGTGCAGATTTCACATTTTTATCGTTATTTCTGGTTGTGTTTCTGGTGGTCACTATTACAGCCCTCGGCAACACACAAGGGATACTTCTGATGGTGTCGGACGCCATCTTTGGACCCGAGGTCTCAAGATATTCCCATCGAGCGTGAGGACGAGACATATGTGGATGGTGTTATTATGAATTGTTGAACTCCTTGAGAAGACAAAGCTAGTACTTTATATGAGTCGTGCGTCTTTTTCACATCCTGTTAGGAGAAGTGGTGGGGGAAGAGCAAGGGAAAGTGCAAGGGCAAACGCTGGAAGGGCTGTTGGTTTGGCGCCGGCGTTCAAGAGGGCACAGAGTCAGCTGCTCAGGAGGAAGAGGTACAATGAGACATTTGTAGTAGGGGTTGCTTCATCAGGCAGCAAGATCCTGCGTCCACTGCACAGAAGCAGGAGCGTATCAAGTCAACTGTGAAGCAGTCTTCTCGATGTTCTGTTTTTCTTGAGCCACAACACAGGACAGGGGAGATGCTGACGCTGCAAACGGAGAACATGCCGGAGCATGGGGTGTTACACTTAACTCTTCTCAACCCTCAGCTTGTTGATATCCTTGTTTGGTGCAGTGTTCTTCAAGTGTTGTACCAATCTGAAATCCACAAGCTGCGATTGCAAGTGGTATGACCCCGAAGGCCCCGCTGGCTGCCCATGGAAACTTATGGGTTTGCTGAGCACTTTGCGCATGCTCAAGGTTCGAATGTCGGAATGATACAGTGTTGCGGAAGACAAGGAAGGCCACCCTTTCCAGCGAGTCTAAGGGGGGCAGGTTCGGGGAGGTGTTACTAGATTCATAGATTTGCGGCAGCAAAGCTGTGCAGTTGGTGGGACAGGAATCTGGCGCGCTAGCGGCAATGTTGCCCTGCGTGGCTGTGCATCCCTGCCCCGTTTGAGCAACTTTCACAACCATTGTTTCTTCATATTTCATGCAAATCGATTGTTGCCAGGCAGTGGCTTCCATTCCTTACTAAAATTGTGGCTGGCAAGGTGGAGAAGCCGGCCACTTAGCAAAGCTGCCACGAGCTTATCGACTCATCCTTTTTTCAAGTAAAGGCAGAGTCTACCATCCAGGATCAATCGCAGGGCGCAAGAAGGGCTGGACCCAAGCCTTCAAAAGATGCTGGAGATCATTCAGGACTTCTATGGGTTTGTTCAGATGACATGCAGCAACTTCTGCTGATTTGAGAGCTTAATATTGCACTGGTAGGAACAGGCCGCGCAGACTCCAGGATTGGAACATCATGCGGCTTTGATTGCCGAGGCTTGAGTTCAGTTCAGCTTGGCTCAAGCTCAAGACAACATGGTTGAGGTGAACACGGGGTGAACACGTGGCATAGAGAACATACACATGTATTTGTACTGTTTTGTTTGACTGTGTTGTTGTTGTTGTTGTTGTTGTTGTTGTTGTTGTTGTTGTTGTTGTTTGTGGTGCTGACATTTGGAAGGCTCTGAATTGCGACAATGACCAGAGGCTAGACGCACAATTGATGACATGTATGTCATATCATGAAAACACAATGAACATTTGTTGTTTTATACACTTTGAAAGGCGCTTGGGTGAAGCTCTCCTTGAGCTGCTGAAAGCTCTGGAGGA